ATCATTTTGAAGAATCGAGCCATGAAAACCTGGTTTGGCACTAGAAAGTTGATCATTCTTGGGGTGGCAGTTGATCATTAGTATCATTCGTGGTTGTCTTACTATTTCTATTTGTTACTACTAGTGTCAACATTGTTAATTACTCCCTTTAATATTATCATTTTCACTGTCATTGTACAATTATTCCCTTTTATTCCTATGGGGAAACCAGGTTTCCGCTGTTATTTTTTTTGTATGGGGATATTGGGGATGGGATTGCTTGTTTTTTTCTTTTTCGGAAACAGCAGTTAGATCCTTGTGCCGGCTCAGTAGGCAGCCAAGTCGCCAAGTTTCACCGCTTTGGCACATTTCCATTGCTTGTGACTCGCGTGTCTTAAGTGAACAACATTGAGGTTTGGCAGCCAGAAGCAATCAAGAACCCTCATTGGTCACCACAATACGCAAGATCTTGAACCTATTATTTTTGAAGTTTAAGAAAGTTTCGGGTATTATGTTTAATGGTTTAATTTACCCTTATTCGCCTTATTCTTGAAAGTTTAGGGTGACAGGAGCTTTCTGTCACAATGGATTTTCCAATTTGGACCGCAAATGCCATCAGGAATCGGAAACTTGGAGCCTTCATCGCAATAGATGTCATGGGGGGGGGCCACACGCCACAGTCACCCACCTAAGAAGCTGCGAATTCTGTGGATCATTAAAGACAGCTTGAGTCACTGGCAGAAATCGCACGGCAGTTCACGCAGAATCGAGTAGTTCCATATGCCATGGCAGTCAATTCGCGTGGAGATTGACCGGGTACCTATGAGCATACCAAGAGTAGCGGGTGCAATTAGTACCGACACTGGCGATGGTTTGAAATAGCGGCAATAGCGGATTTTCACAGAGGTGGGTGGCATTCACTACCTTCAACACTGATCAAACCTTTTTGATGTTACTTGATCTCCCATTCGCTGACATATATTCAAGCTGCCCAGTCCAGGACTCTTTTCGCAGCCAAACAACATGCAGTTGTTTTCTGATGTTTGGCTTGGTACATCACAATCATAACCCCACACGGCACGCTCGACGCTCGTTGGTACCGGTTTGGTCCTGGATCCACCAAATGGTGCTCCAACCAAAAGGTGGCGTGGCGTTTCGGTGTACCCCAAAGCGGTTTCCCACAGATGGATGATAACTTGGGGTCATGAGAAAGGAGCCCCCATGGAGGTCATAAAAATGAAGTTGCAGACTGCATTGAAAAGAAACTACTACAGTAGTCTGTGGAGAAACAACCAAAATGACATGTGTGCATATAGACCATTATATAGACAGATAATGACAGATACATATACACATTCACATCTACAATTTTAAAAAGAGAACATCAAGATTCTTCAATGATCAACCAATCATGAATTGAACCCTCCTATGGCTGCTTATTATTGGTATTGTTGGTGGTGTATTTAAAGGCTTACGCCTGACAGCCGGGCGCCGGCAGAGAAATGGCCAGACACACTCCCTGGTCGTGCGTACGAGGCGTACATCTACCACTACTACGACTACTAGTACGACGACGACGACTGACGACTACGACGACGACTACTACTACTACGACGACGACTACTACTACGAGTACTACGACGACGACGACGACTACTACTACTACTCCTACTACCACTACAACTACCACTACCACTACCACTACTACTACCACGACTACAACAACTATGCGTAGTGGTTCTACGAGTGCCGTTGTTGTCGTTGTTGCTGTTGTTAGTGTTCTTGTTGATGTTGTGGTCGATGGTGGTGCTTATTGTAGTTGTAGTAATAGTTGTAGTAATAGTAGTAGTAGTAGTAGAAGAAGAAGTAGTAGTAGTAGTAGTGGTAGTAGTAGTAGTAGTACTACCAGTAGTACCAGTAGTACCAGTAGTACCAGTAGTACCAGTAGTACCAGTAGTACCAGTAGTACCAGTAGTACCAGTAGTACCAGTAGTACCGCACAAGGCGGTGGCGGAAGTTTCAAACATAGGAAACCTATAGGAGAGGTTGGCTGTTGTGAATCAGGGATGGCAGAGCGAAGCCACTGATGGACCGAAAGGTGCTTGAGGTCTCCTCTCTTTCTCTCTCTCTTTCTCTGACTATCTACCTACCTCCCTACCTATCTATCTATGTATCTATGTATCTATTTATCTATCGATCTATCTCTCTCTCTCTCTCTTTCTTTCTTTCTTTCTTTCTTTCTTTCTTTCTTTCATCTAATTACCTATCTATCTATCTATCTATCGATCTAAATGCAGCAGCCGGGCCTCCAAACCCGTCGGCCCGCCAGTTCCAAAGACCATGAGAGTGAAGTGGTCGGACGGACGGGGTCATTCGAGACGGCTGGTGGCGCCGAACGTTGCCTTCTGAAGCTGTGAGAAACTAGCTCCAAATCCTGCAGCCGGGTTGGGTGGTGGTGCTTAACGTTGGTTTCTAAAGCTGTTGGAAGCTAGATGCGCTGGGCTTGCCAAAGCCTTTGGTGGATGGCATGAAGCGGCGGACGAAGATCTGTGGTTTTCTTCTGGCGCCTTCCCCCTGCTGATGGCTGGGGATTTTTATTGGGGCCATGAATGTTGGGCTGTTAACCATCTTATGGATTCTTGTGGCCCGAGGAATCTTACTGGTTGAACGAACGATCCAATCCACAACTATTAATAATCACCCCATGTCCCATCATGCCCCCATTCCTTGCTAAGCAGCAGTATGTTATGGTTGGGTTGTTTAAATCATGATAAATTATGACATTATTATCAAACCATCCAACCATTGTTGGTTTGTTGGTTTGTTGGTTGGTTGGTTGGATATGGTACCGCCATGTACCGCCCATTTCAATATTGGCGCGCCATAGGAAGAGGATGTGGAGATGACGGAGGATGCCAAGGAACTCCTCACGAAGATCGGGGTGGAGAGCACCCTGCGGCACCTTGCTGCGACGGCGGTGAAATCATGGCGGTGAAACCATGGGGAAAGTCATGGGAAATCACGGGAAATCATGGGAGGTTATGGGACGTCATGGGGTTTGGGGTGAAGTTGACGAATTTAATCTGTATTTTTTCAATATCATATTTAGATTTAGATGGATAGGGTGACTTCATCAAGCAACTATGACTGTATTTGTAGCCCAACACATTTATTCTGTACAGGGTGACTCCAGGGTGAAACCAGGATGAAAGTGATGAAAGGATGTGAAAGGGATCAACTGATTAACCAATGGGAAACCCATCTTTCTATCTAGTTGGGGACCATGATAAGAACGTTTGGTAAATGGTAACCCTGAACTGCCAAATAATGCCTAATTTCTCTGTCGCTGAGCCTTTGGCACGTAATCTGTGCTTGCTACACTTGGACGATCTTGGACGAGAGGGACTGTGGAAGCACATCACAATATATCAGAATGCCTGGGGGGAGGGAAGACCAGAGAGAAAATTGGGTTTGCCTAGCTGTTTTGTTGGAGGGATTGGAGGAAATTTCACAGCTGGTGTGGATAAGGTATGCCATTCACCTCATCACTTGCTCAAACCTTGTTGCAATGAAGCGCAAGGCACAGAAGGGGTTTCCGAGTTGGTTGAGGGAATGCGGATCAGTCAGTCACGTCCATGTAGCTGTCCGACAGGAAGGGTGTTCGATTGCTGAAACGCAACACGATGCATCATAGCCTTTGTCAAGCTTGCAAAGGCAGATTGAATAGCTTGGCAATGTTTGGCCGAAGCTTTTGGAAGACCAGGGTCTTGGTCTAGCTGGAGATGACCATGAAGGCACCACTCTACCTTGCTAAATCTCTGACTGTGCAAAGGCGCAAGAAGTGGACGTGCCTGACATCCGCAAGGTGGGGAATAGAGGAATAACATGGAATAACTTTGCCATCTTAAGGTTTCTGCTAGGTCTGACAATGGTGCAAGATTTGCATGCGAGTGATATATTCAAAATTATTCAAGATGTACAGGAGCTCGGCTGTTTTGCGTTGTGCCTACAGAAATTGAGCTTCCTGATGCGCTTTTCCATGGTTTTGGGACAGGTCTACTCCCTCTTTGTGGACGTGAAACGAAGTACGCAGTTCCTGATGGAGTGACCTCCAACACTTGACGTATGGGTTCAGTGTGCTCGTTTCTATGCATAGTTGTCCTAACAGCTTTGACATCCATTGCTTGGACTGAGAGAGAGGCTATTTTGAGATGGGGATTCTGTCTAGCAATGTCAGCTTTGGACAGTGTTACCGTCTTCTTGTGAGGTATCAGCAAGAGTTCATGTTCTCCGAAGTGCATGAGGAGGAGGTGGCTCTGTCAGAAGTCATACTGTAGTATCTGTAGTGTGTGTTTAGAGTCTAGAGCATGGAATTCTTCTTCTGGAGAGACTATCATTCTCCATTGTCAAGATTCAGGTAGAGGACCCAGATGGATGACTCAGACATAGTGATTGGATTTGCATCCTCCATTCCAGGATGCTGACATGCCTCAAGCGAAGGCGCGGAAAGGGAACAGATCCAAGCTGCAGGCAATGGGTGCACAAGTAACACGTGCAGAGATCGGTGCAACTCGCATGCAGAGAGTGCCTGGTGCAATGCAGGAAGGCTAGATCCATATTTGACCAGGACTGACTGCCTCCGATTTTGTGTGTTGGCAAGCTCTTTCTCGGTACCACGTGGCACGAAAGACGCGCATGTTTTCAAAGAGACCTTTCAGACTTTTCAGAACTATTAACCCATGACAGTGAAGATCAATGGAAACCATAATTCCAGAATTAGATCATGGGAAATTGTACATGAACCCTTTATTTAAGGGAACCCTTTATATAAGGGTAAAAACCATGCTTTCCCGTAGATTTTCTCAACAAGATCCATTGATCTTAATCTTAGCTGCCTGTTGAAGCAGCTCCGCAACTGCAGGAACCCTGGACCATTTGCATGACTGAGAAACTGTGCATGACGCGCGCAAAAATTTGGAACTAGGATGGCAGCATTGGCTGGGATTGTGTAGGATATTTTTTCTAAAGACAGGTGCATGGTTAATTATGGTTAAATATGGTTAAACACATAGATGCACATGATGTATCATTATGTCGGATCATACTGGATTTTCTGCATGGCATATACACACATGTAGATGATGTAGTACAGATACAAACTGTTTACCTTTCTTCCCAGTCCAAAAGGGGGTCTCCTGTGCCCAAGACCGGCTACTTGGAACACGTTGTTAAAGATCTGGGAAATGCATAGAAATGCCATAATGCTTGCATATGTGAAATTCTTCTGCATGTGGGTCAACATTTGCTATTTGTTTTCTTTTGCAGCTGTAAGATCCACATCAAAGACGTGTGGACAAGTAGAATGAAGAGGATAAGTTGAGTCTCCCATTTTCTTGGTAGCACTCCATTGTTGATTCGAGTGCAGTGACAACCCACCTTAGGGCAACTGCAGCATGCTTTAATTGGAGGACACACCCATGACTTTCTGTCTTCAAATGTCAAGAGTGCGAGAAAGGCTAAGAAATGGACCTTCCGAAAGGCATTTGTGGCAGGCATTGTACATTGCCGACATAGCTGACATAGCTGACATAGCCCCAGTGATGACGGCCACATTCGGATCCTTTGCTGATGGGAGATAGAGGTCCCTCCCCTCACTTGGCCTTGGCACAGAGGATCGAGCTTGAGAGGATAGTTTAGTCTTCCGAGTTTCTGACTTTTTGTGGTCTTGTTTTGTTTCCTTTTAAGTTTAGATATGTTTAGATGATTTTTTTCAATCTCTTTCATAGGTATATTTGTATGTATTTGTATCATTTTGCATCTTTCGCTTCTTGAGAGGAACAGGTATGATGAAGTATCTACAGTGTGCTGCTGTTCCGGCAGATTCCAGCCCTTTGACGTGCTGTGAACATTGGGGAATCAGTCTTGGCAAATCCAACCAGGAGGTCGAAGGTTTCAGGACCAGGGACAAGCATTTCGTTTTGTGGCTAAGCTTCCTCTTGTCCAATGCGGATGTTTTGAATTTAGCCGTGATGTTATATGATGTTATAATATGATGTTATATGATGTTATATTATTGAATTATTGATCATCAATGTTGACGCAACATTATTTGATTGACATGAATAATTATCGTGAAACGGTTGCCCATTCCGTTTCCTGACTTTTCCTTGCTACCTCAGGTTATGACTGGCAATCCAGTGCCTCCCAACTCTCAACTGCTCGCAGCTCCAATGGAGGTTGGAACCATGTTGAGCTTGGATCATCTTCATTTGTTTTCCCATCTCAAAGGCTGATGTACTTTGAATGTATACAACGTATACAAATATCAGCATTGCGGACATTTTGTCAAAAGCATTTTTTGAATGGGGAATGCGGATACATCATGATATGAGTCATATGAGCATGATATGAGCCCATTAAAGACGTCGATATCATCCAGTTCCATTTCACCCCTTTGCGGTCGCGACGGTCACAGGTCTAACTGCTCGCTCCGGAACTCCCCGAGATCACGAGTGGCGGCCTTTGAAAGACCTTCCGCGCAGTCGCTGGGCAAATTCGAACGAGCCTCGGCGGAGTTTTGACGGGAAATCCATTGGAATCTCCTACCTTGGTGATTCTCGTTACACATACTGTTTTTGTTTATATCATTAATGGGGATTCCCATGACTCTCACAAACTTGGATGATGCCCAATATATTGTGTAGTATAACAGCATAACCATCCAATTTCATTTTATTTCCTTTCCATATTTTCTATGAATGTCTATATATCTATGAATGATACCCACGTGATTCAAGATTCAACAGTCAATTCAATACGATTCACTGGAGTCACTCCAGTTGCGATCCCAGGACGTGCCGCGTCTGGGCTCCATGGTCAGCCCGAGCAGCAGTTCTTCTGGGATCTACACCTCCAGGAGTGCCGCTGTTGGGAACGGTTCCATCCCCTTGAGATCTCCAACGAGTCGATGAAAACTTGTGGTAGTGGTATTTGTTGTGGTATTTGTAGTGATGTCCAATCTTCAGGTTCCACTTCCATCGTAACTTCCCATTTCCCCGTCTTAAAAGTGGCGGCTTGAAGCCACTTTTGCGCCACCTCTCGTGGACCTTTCATCTGCAGGAGTGAGCTCTTGGAGCCGCAAAGCTCCACTGGAAGCAATCGAGAGGTGCAGGCCGAGCGATTTGGGAAACCACAGAAATGGGATGCAACCAGCAAACTTGAGAACTTGAGAACATAAGGAGGGATTGAACAATATGATCATTATGTACATTTATGTACTACATAATATATATAGATAGATAGATAGATAGATAGATAGATAATGTGCAGTGAATCCACCTGTCGGAGTGGGCAACCTTGCAGTGCCTTGCAGCTCCGTTTTCCTAGGACTTGTCTCGGGAAATGGAGGCCATGCGTTCCTTGGCGGAAGCAGCCAGTTTTCCTCCGTTAAAGCGGTTGATATTGGAAGGCAGGGAGGGGTATCTTTTTTTTTTTAATTCTTGATATTGTTTAATATTTTTTAAATATTTTTTAATATTTAGTTTTTTTTTTAAAAAATATTGTTTATTTGTCTTGTTTTTTTTTCTTCTTTTGTTTGTTTGTTTGTTTGTTTCTGTTCTTCTTGGATTCATGAAGCATCCAAACATAGACGGGCAGAAACAGATTGAACAAAGCATGATGAAGGACCGGTTACTGTACAGCTTTGATGGGATTGGCCGAAAATTACCCTCAAATTTTCACGGTTTCTCACTACGAATATTTGATAAAACTGGTTGTACATCAATTATACCTCCATTTTATACCGCTGAAACATTAACTAAATGACTATTGAACCAACATTTTCCCCAAGTTTCATCAGCAGTGCCCCATGGCATCCCAGCCTGCGTTGGCATCGTTGGCCAAGGCCACGTGATACAGCACGATCTGAACGAGATGCGAGGCACCTGGGCGAACCTCAAAGAGGCGCCTGCGGCATCGTGCGGCTATGGGTCTTTTTTTGGGCCACCTCTGGATGTATTCCCCTGAAAAAAATGTGGCCGAGGAGCTCCGAATCTAGTAACAGTGCTAAATTCTGAACAAAAACGATTGGAATTGTGTATTATGGGACGCCACCGAAAGATGAGGGAAAAGTGGCCATAAAATCCCAGCGGAATCGCCAGGCCTTGGCAGTGAGCCAAGGCAGGCTGTGGAGATGATTCAATGGCTGAAACAATACCGATGTATCTGGAATGTACAGTGATTGCAACATATGGTGAATCCATGTGAATCCCCACATTCGATAAAATTTGATGAGTCTGAGATGTTGACAGACCAGCAGACCTGCAAGAATGCCTTGGAAATGTTCAGCATTTGACAGATGATTAGCACAAAGGTGACATCTGCAGATAGGAAGGGCAAGAGTGAAAGTGCTCGACAAGTGAAGGATATTTTCACCCGTTTTTGGAACATGAGCCTCTCATAATGTTTTGCATCCATCACGCCCCCAGCTTGAAACTGCCTCAGATGGGTGTGATGCATCTAAAGAGGTGGGGCAGAGCCAACTGGAGCGGTGGGGGGAGTATAGTGATCAGGCAAATTCTGGTTGTTAGTTTCAAACGTCAACACACAGAAGCTGACGCTGATTTTCTTGTTCGATGAATATTGTTGGTCCTGCATCAAACAGACGCTGAAGTTGCTCTAGCAAAGCAGACAAGGGTGCGCTTGGAACAGGAATGAAATTGGCTCAAGATCTGAAGAACTATAAGAACTGCAATATGAAAAACAATCAATGATCTCAATCATGCCCCGGCATTGACACTTCATGACAGGTGCACTGGTTGCTGGCGCCGGAGGCTGACCCCATGAGATTTTTCCTTGTCAAAAGTCTTGGATGGCCATCAAGCCACCAGGATTACGCGAAGCCGACGCGGGTGGATGTGGCCATTTTAGGAGTCGGGGCAGACAGTGAACTGAGCCAGGCTTCATGTTGAGGTTTTTGAGGAGTTAGCACTTTGGCATGGATCAAGCTTAAATACGTTGAGATCCAAAAAAAAAGCAAAAAAAAAGCAGTTTCTTGTCCCTATATAAATCCTTATGAGATATTGACGCATATTAAACGCACCATTTTTTTAGGGGTTAGCCAATCTTTACCAACTGCCATTGATCCCCAGATGCCGGCACAGCTGAGGCCATGTGGTGCTTCAACTTGGAAGCCAAGGATCGTGGTTCGAGCGGATTGGTTTCGTCTTGACAGATTTGATCTGAAGATATTTGGGGACAATCTAAGGATCATCTAAGGATCATCTAAGGACAATCTTGAAGATACCTGACAGATTAGCAATCGGGGTTTCGAGCGCTCATCGTTGGAGATTTGTGTTCGGGATGCAGTCGCCAGTAAATTATTCTGTTCGGCAAGGAGCTGCCAAGAACTTCCGAGGATGAAACTGCAATGTGAGGGGCTCAAAACGAGTCTAAGAGCCAGTGGACTTACAGATTTTGCCAGCTACTGTTGTTTGAAACATCTGAAAGGGTAAACAAATGTAAACAATGTAGCATGTCCCATTCGATCCGGCCATCTTACTGAGTTGCTTCAACCTGTCCCTGCTCTCCCAAGACGCGATACAGTGGCGCCAGAGACTTGGATTACTGGATGAAATCCGTTGCAGTAATTGACTATTGGTGAGGATGCGAGCAGGTGGTGAGCAGGTGGCGTGGCAATGGTGGTGGGTGGAAGAGAGACTTTCTTGCTGGAGCTGAATGCTGCACCTTGAGGTGTTAGCCTCTCAGTGGAACGGATTGCTCGAGATGCAGGCATCCATGCTTGATTTATGAGCAGATCGGCGTGAGCAGAGGTAGGAATACCTCGAAACGCATTTAATTATATCTATAATATACATATGCACTTGTCCAGGGTCCCTGCTCGTGGATCACTTGAACATTCTTCGAACTGTTGATGTGGTTCAATCAGATGCCTCTCGGACAACAAGGGATACGGTCAGCAGCCCAGAGTGCTATGGAATAATGATTCTATGGTTCCAACAACTTTCACAATGGCAACATGCTGGGCAAGGAGAATTCGATGAACGCAAATACGTGCAAACATGTGCATGTATGCATGTAATGTACATGCAATGTGCATGCAATGTTGCATCAGCACGTTTAAAAACACACACACACAAAAGCTAAAACCCTTACGTTTTTTTTGTGATCTGGGTGCCCCACTTGCCTTACTTCTATCAAATTGGCCTATTGATAAGGAAGTGCTGGGCGAACTTCGTGGGGATCTTGGTAGCTGCTTTGAAATGCTTGGCCACGCGACACTTCCGAATGCTGCCTGAGGTGGAGCACAGCTGAATGCATCAGTCAATACAATCAGACTCGCCTGCCCAGTCCCCAAGAAGTCACGGTCGAATCCCCAGACAGCCAGACAGAAACAGGAGGGCACCCGAGGAAGATGAGGAATAGAGCAACGGGAAAATCAGGGAAAAATGACACCAGAGCTTTTCAAAAAACAAAAGCTACCTTATTGATCCTTATTGATCCTTATTGATCCTTATTGATCTTTATTAGCATTTGCCTTGGTCACTTCGATGCTTACTTGACCGGTCACTCCTCGCTATTGTGGGCAGGCTACTCTGCCGAGCCTGGCTGCAGCTAAGAGGCCCTTGAGCTGCCAGAAAGCTGCAAAAATCCAGGATGTGTTTGTTTTTTTGTTATATAGTACTGTAAAGTACTGTAAATATAGTATAATATAGTATACTGTCATTATATAGATAGTCCTTTGGCTGGCAATGTCTGTTTTTTGGTTGATTGCATATTGGCATATTGAACAGATTTTTCAAACTCTTGGCACTTGGTACCAGCTACCAGCTACCTTTGTTCAAATCTGGAGCTTGCAGGCTCTTGTCGGGAACGGATTGTCTCAAAGGTGCGATTCTCGTGTCAGTGTCTCTGGCGGCTCACAATCATTTGGCAATATGCAAAGCCAGCGATAACACCATCTCCAATCTGGGTTTATCCTCAGGATATACATGGGTTTACCATGGTTTACCTTGGTTTACCATATATCATATATAATAATAATATATCATATACATATATATATATATATATCATTGTATATCGCTATGCCACGGCGCAGGTGGAGGTCCCCGGAATGACGGATGCATCGCTTTGCAGCAAAAGGGTTCGTCAACGGCGCCGTTGGTTTACCGCATTTATTTGGGGACCATCGAATCATGGGCAACTGGTAGCCGTGAACCTCCCAACAGAAGATCTTACATGGCAACCTTGCAGATGTTGGGAAGTTTGGGTCGGCCCAGTCCTTGTGGATGTGCAGACAGTTGGTATGTCAGTAGAAACCTGTTTAGGATTTGTTCTGAGCCGTGACACATAGTTGCTTTCCATTGTGACAGTCAGCAGAGCTCAATCGAGCTGGATCCAAAGTACACCCCAATTACTGTATTTGAGCTCCATGATGCATTCGCTGTACGTGTAGCTGTACAAAGGCCCCAAGGCTTCTGGTGTTTGGTCAAGCTCGCATTCATCTCTTGAGATCGTAACTGGTCACAAAATGTGTTGCTGGCCAAATCAATTGGACGTCTCAGCACAATCCAACGCAAAAGAGCTCGGCAAGGGGAGCAAACCAAAAGGCTCTAACGGAAACGAAGAAGTGACATGTCTTGCTGTCTTGAGTTCCATGGAACAAGTGCAGACATAGCTCCCCTTCTTCTGCCATTTGCGAATCTCGGTCGTGATTGTGGTCATGCTGAGGCTATCTGACATGAAGACATGTAAGCTTGTGCAGATTTGTGCAGTGCAAGAGCATGTGAATGGTAGGTACCGTAAAACTTTGAAGAGATCTTGACTCCGGAGTCAATGATGCGTTCGTTGGCCAAAGCACAAACTCGCTGAATCTCGCTGACCTTTGATGACACGTTGACTATTCTTTTAAGATGAGAGGATGTACGCAGCGTACGCACTTACTTTCATCAGTGTCCCTTAGACACCCACTGCATTTCCTTATAGCCACCCAAATTTCAAATTCCTAAAGGGCTTTGTCATGCTTTGTGTATGTTATTGCATCCGCGGCAGGGTGCATTCAGATGGCAAAGTGCCAACGGCCAAGGCGCGTAAAGCCCAGCTACCACAGATGGGCTGAATCCAATTCACCCTCTCCGATCCAGGCGTCGGCACGTCGGCCCAGTCTTGGTTCGCAATCCTGCAAAGACTTCAACAAGGACGTTGGGCCGTTGGGCTTTGTCATCCGGAGACTAGCTTCAAGATGCTTCAAGCACAGACGCAGATTGAAGGCTCATCGACTTCAGTGACTTCAGGCTGTTCTGTCAGGTTCTTTTCAGTTCCATTCACATCCATTCACATCCATTCACCTCTTTGTAGAGTCGATTGGCGATCTTTTCTTCCGCCTCCGACTACACCAAATCTACGTAGTAAGGATCCATGTCCACTCCGCCAGAAGCAATTACTTTGAACATCTTTGAACGACTCCGTGTCCAATCCAGTCCACCAGTTCACCAGTTGACGGTAGGACAGGCTGAAAGCACAAGACATGAAGGGCCGCAGTAGTCGCTTGGCATCTCTGAAGGACGCTGAGTCTACAGCCTTTAGGCATGTTTGGAGCTTCAAGCTGAAGTCATGGGTCATGAGTCATACCTTGGCTAACAAGAAATGCATCGCTCAGTTCTTGGGTTGTCCTTGCAAAGAGATGTCTGCTACCTATGTACGCTTACGCAATCTTACGCATCTCTAGGTGTCTGACATTCTTTGTCAACAAGTCATTAAACAACTGCTGCAGGAGAGGCGTTTGGCAGCTTCGCTTGCGATGAACGAGGTGCTGTAGTCAGTGGACGATCATGGAAAATCGCAGTTGCAAGAGTGACAGTCAACGACAGCTGCATGAATCCAGGAGAACTAATAGCATACCACTGGGTCGACGCGGCACGCATAGTTTAGTCTTTTGCTAGAAATTGGTAGAAACTATCGGGACATGTATTTCATCAATTCTGCACTATTCTTCAGTTATATTCACCTCACCAGATGTTTTTTTTGTTTTTTTTCATAGAATTTCCTATAAAATCGATCAATCCCCAGAGATCAAAAATGCCAACGGTGAAGTCCATGGGTTTTCCCCAGGAAGACGAGGCCGCACCACCTTTGGTACGTGCTCCGCGACGGCATTCCACAGCTTCAAGGATGAAAGCCATGCCGTACAGTTCCTCCAAGGTGTGGGACACTTCCGGGGAAGGCATCAGATTGAAACTTGATGAAACTTCTATGTCAAATATGTCAAGGTAGTAGAAGGCCGCATTGAAGATATATTTAGTACATTTTGAAGGAGAAGTCTTACAGTGTCAGCGGAGTTGCAGCTTGTGCTCGGAACTGTTCCGTCAAGCTTTTTTCAAGCAATCCAGTGGTCAGAGGGAAATGGCCGGATGTGGGTTATGATTCAAACTGGGACACAGGGAAAGCAAGCAAAACAATGGATGCTTGATGATGTTAAGTCCCTATTTTTGATGCCTGGGGTTTGTTGCTCCTGAATGCCCATGTATTGCGATTTTTGGAGGCCTGGCACCGGAAGAAGGTGGAACAAATCTTTCATGACTACGACTACAACAAGTTGGGCGAGGCGCACTCATGGTGAACTCATGTGAACTCACATTGACATGTGCCACACATATTCGTATCGTTATATACAAACAAACATATTTGTTTAAGTTCGTTTATCTCATCACCAAGCAGATGTTTTGATTTGAGTTTCCAATGTTGTTTGATAGTAGGAAGTTAAACTTCCCCGCCCTGGGGCCGATATAGAATATATATATATATGAATATATATACGTATACGTTAATATACCGCATACTATCAATCCATCCACCTATCGATCCATCCGTTGTCCATCCATATATGCATATGTTTTTCCATACTTGTATCATCTTGTATCCACATTTGCACACAGGTGGCAGGTTTGCCCTGTCTCACTGTGCTCAGGTCAGCCTGCATGACTTGCAGAAGTCTTTTGCTGAAATGCTCGGAGACCAAGAGATCTTTGATGATCTTTGGTCCATCGCCATGGAGCCAGAGAGATTTGTCATCGATTTTTGACAGACTTCACATGCTTTTAAATCTAACCTAAAATTGTATAAACTTGTGGTCAAACAACTGTTGAATTGTTGTTTGGGGTGAGTGACCCCTGTATAATCCTGAACACTTGACAGAAATTCGGAATGGGATGTCAGGAACATGGCCATTGATGCAGAGACTTTTGGGCAGTACAAGCAGGGGCTCATCCGGCCTGTCTCCAACGCTACAATCACTGTGGCAAATGCGAGGATGAGACTTGGATCATTCCATTTGTTGTCGTTTGTGAGCCTGAGATCGGAGGATTATTTTGCAGAGAACCTGGTAAGCTTCCTTTGGTTCCAGATTTTGGATGGTTCAGCTGCTGACATAACTGCGACAGGCTCTTGGCCAGTAGCCGGGAAACTCGGTGAGGGCTGCAGGAATTGTGAGCTGCAGCTGACATGGCTTGGGTGAACTATTAATGGGGGGTACCTACCTTTTTGGAACCCCAAAACATATCGACGCTAGGGTGATATGGTGCGTTGGGCAATGTATCTGACACCTTCCAAAGCGCCAGAGAGAGGTAGAACATGCGCGATGGGTGGATGTGGATTGTGCCACTCAGATTGCGACAGCGTAGATCTCAAGTCGTTCGTGGCCTTCCACCAGGACAGCAGCTGCATCTTGTGGATGGCAACTGTTTTTTGCTCACGTCCCAATGGGCCAGGCTGTTTGGGAGAACCAACCACCAGCAGTGAGGCGTTTTGCAGGCTGTCCTGAGGCAGGGTGAGGCAAACATGTGTAAGGATGCCATGCTCTGGGACAGGTTGATGGTATGAATATGAGACCCAGGACATTCAAATACTGCGGTCTCTTTTCAATAAATAATTACTGGACTTCTTGAAGTTATCCCAACCTTTGACCTGTACTCAGATGCTGTCAACAAAAGACTTGTAGTTGAATGCAGCGTAAAATGCAAACTTAGATCTCTTTCGAGTGGCTAGACTTATTTACCTGGTTCCCAGGCTAATTGACCTGCACAATTTTGTTTGAGCCGATGATGGATACGGATGATACGATACTTGAAAACAATTGTGTCTTTTGCCATGGTCGAGTTTCAAGCCAACGAAAGGCGACTTCAGGGGATGGCTCGTAGAGACCTCAGGTAAGCACATTGATGAGACACCTGTGGCATTCTGTGGCCACAAGTCTCTGCTAAGGTTGTGTATTGGCCGTTCACCCAAATCAACGCAGCTGTCTGAGGATTGGGCGCCATGAAAGCTGACCAAGGATAGTCAGGGGAAACGGATAGCTATGTCGGACTCAAGAATCATCCCGATTTAGCATTTGAACAGTGCAGATTCGCGCCATTTTGCGCCCATTGTCATTTTTTCTTGGGTAGTCAGGCTGTCTTTTTGCTTATCACTACGAACTAAGGACTCGACTGCCGCCTTGCTCCCAGAGCCTAGATTAAGCCTGTGGTGATCAGGGGACCATCAGTGATCTGCATGCCAGGAAAACGGTCAAAAAAGAACCAATCAAGCTTTGAGTTAGAGACCTTTCGAATGGATCCCCTAGTGAAGCCAACCCTCGCATTCGCAACTCGAGGATCTGCAGGAGAACGTCTATTCAAATTATTAACCCGCTTGAGCCATGCATGAAACTCCGCGATCTGCGGAGAGCACACCGTGGCGAAACAACCCATGTAGTCTTGTTTTTTGAGGGACCAGGCTCCAGGATAGGATTTTCAAGGATGGGACCCATGGTTTCGTCGACGCCCAGGGGTCTGAAGCTTGGAAGCCCCAGCAAAGGCCTCTTAAATGAAGCTTTGGATAATGAGGCGTGGCTGGGGTCAGGGGGTGCGAAGTCAGATGGGATGTTGGCAGACGTTTGAATTGCCGGTGCTTCTTCTGTTTGGTACTTGGTCTCTCTCTCTCTCTATTACATTACATTACATTATATTATATTATATTATATCATATTATATTATATCATGTTATATTATATTATATTACATTTATATTTATATTGATATTGATATTTATATTTATATGATATTTATTAATATAATATAATATAATATAAATATAATATAATATAACAAAACATAATATAATATAATATAATATGATATGATATGATATGATATGATATATATTTTTTAGTATAATATGTAATATAATATGTAACATAATATAATATGATATAATATAATATAAAATAATGTTATATTATATTATATCATATTATATCATATTATAATATATATATATTTAATAATATTGTAGATATGATATGTATGTATATATACTATATACATTTGTCTACATTGGCCAACAGAAAATGAACACAGATGAACAGCAGCTGGAGGGCCCAGAGGATACATCCAATGGAAGCCACTCCGCAGGATCAGCTGCGTGCTGCGTTCTATAGGCCTGGCCTGCTGACGGGACAGGGACAAGATCCTCATAGCCCCATATCCGCTGGGAGCTGTGCGCACCACAGGTACACACATGGTCAGCTTTATCTCAGCCGCCATGGCCCAAGTGCGCAATGAGATGTAGGTGAAGAAGTGATCTGGCGCTGTCTGAATTACCGGACCATGACCCAATTCAACACTATTCCCTGACACTGACACATAACCAGCTGCTGAAATCAATATTACCTGGCACTTTCTTTGTTGCCTCGCCTCTTGAACCGTTTCTTCTGAGGGAGTCAGATGCCAGCTGTCTTGAAGGACTGCCTCTTGATGTGGTCTGCTTTCATTTCACAGCAGGATGATCTGAAAGTGGTTCCAGGACCTTGGTATCACCATCCCATCCGCCCGGAAGCCAAGGATTGTGGCACCACCGGCCTTAACCTGGGCATTAGGACATTCTGCATATTCAGCTTGGCCCTGTTGAACTTTGTCGCGGAACTGAGTACAGTATGTGTTTTGGTCAATGACCACCGATGGAACCAGCTGAAATTTCTTGGGGCAAATCCCCTCCATTAGGATGTCTTGGGCCTGTGCTCTCCCGAGGCTGATGCCTGCCAACTGGACAAAGATTTCTTCCAGACGTTTGGAGCGCCCAGATCTTTCCAGATCTTCCCAGATCTTCCCAGATCTTGATTCGTACAGGGACAACCATCATAGAAATGTGTCATGTATCCTCGGGCCTGTTGGCCTGTCCTGCGTTATCCATCTGGGTATGGGTCAATACCTATAGATACATTATGATACATTTTTAGTGGGATGAACATCCATTTACCAGCTATTTTGGGGTTCACCAGGGGTACAAGGTTTTGACACACTGCCATCTAGATTCTAGGTTTCTCTTGCCAGACTGGACTTCAGGTTTTGTGATCACGAGTTCAACAGCGCGGACGAGAACAAGGACGGGAAGGTGCGACGCCAAGCAACGAGTGGATTCAGATGCTCCAGTGCGGATGTCGAAACATGGCGACGAAGCAGTCTACTGTATCTATGGGGCTTAGTGTTGTTGTTTACGGATGTTTATTGACCATGTTTTGTAATTAAGACTTACTCAGTGTTGAATTCCTGGTCGTCGTTTCTTTGGTATTCCCTTTCTCTGGTTGTCATAGACCGCATTTTTTTGGATAGATTTAAACATATTAAAACCATTTAAAAACCCTGTCATGTTGAAATGGCTGGGGTGATTATGGTCACCCTTTATGACTTATTAAAAAAAAATATTTTTCAGCTCGTAAATCTGTTTTCACCGTAATCCCCGCCTGTACTCTCTCTCTCTCTCTCTCCCCCCTCCATATCTCCATACTTGTACCAGCTTGAAGGAAGCCGAGTCAAAACACAGTTCCACAATGAATTTTTGGTAAAATATGATGCACATCTAGATACACTGTGACAGGATGCGGCACGATTTGGACATCAGCACGTGTTTTGCTACACTTCAACAGCTCGTCTGTGCTGCCAGGTCTCCTTCCAAGAATGTATCGCGTATCAAAATCGTTATTTGTCGATGATGCAGGCCGGAAAAACCATGAAAAAACAGAATGTTGGATGGAAGTGGGCACAATGCAAATGAATGATAGAAACAGAGAAATACAAACAGAATCAAAAACATATGACGGGTACTTATCATATCAATTCATATCATATAATTATATATATTATATATATATATACTAATACGCACAGGACCTGAGGTTCGCCGTCGCCGGACGACGTGAAATGAAGTGAATGGAGCCTTGAACATGTCTTTGAATCATCTTCGAATTGGATGTCGTGAGACAAGTCGCATGTGTGCCCTGTCAAATCCATCATGACCATCTTCAAACCCAAAATATCCAAAATCCATGTTGAAAAATATTGGGCGAAAAGCGACTGTGAATGAATTGACAAAATCATCCCAGAATCTCTTCCAAATCATCTTATATACTGTAAATCCTTTTTCGCTCAGGGGTTGTACACCCAGTATTGCATGTCGGGTTTGAAACAGTCGTGAGGGGCCATGACTGCGTAGCAGAGCGTGTTGGAAGTTCCAAGAGAAAGTTGACCGCGTGGCATCAAGAGCGTGTGGGATGTCAATAGCCCCCCCACCCCATCCCCCCAAAACCCAAGACGTCAGTCATGCAGAGTCATCACAGACCGAGAACGAGAAACGAAACCCACCAAATTCTGGGGCGATAGAGGCATAAAATGCATAAAAGAACACCTTGTGATGCAAGACCAAGGCACACTGCACATCAGGATGCGACTACAAGAGTATATACGCTGTTTACCGACGGCGAACCCCAGTGGCTGTGGGGTATATAATACATATATACATACATTATATAATATTATATATATATATATTATGTATAATATATATATATTGTGAATCTGATATTCCCAAAATCCTTAATTGAGGGTCCCCAACCACTGCAACCTGCGACACCCAGTTTCGCTGTCCACCAATGAAGTCCGCCCTCCCACCCGCTTGAGAAGGAGCGCACGGATGGGCGCCAAATTGGAATTCCATGGGATCTCAATGGAAATCATATGGGACAAGCAGCACCATGTGTCATGTGGAATGTTGAACATTAACACTCATCAAAAACCAACAAAAAGAAAAACAAACACAAACCACAAAATTAGTTTCATGTCTGACCATGTGCTGCCCCATATTCGGTTCCATCATTTATCCATTTCAGTTGAGCCCTTTTGGTTGCACGGTCTCTCAAGATGGTGTTTTCATCAAACAAAGAGTATTTCCCAACCATCAATGCCTGCCTCAATATCTGACCATCCATAGACTTTGTAAGGCAATCAGCTAGCATGGCTTTGCTATTTACCCATCTCAATCGACAGTTTTCCTGCAACCTTTCTCTGATGAGAAGGCATTCTAAAGTGGTTCTACTTTCGGCACATGCTGGCGTGGATGTCTTTGTAGACAGGTCATACACGGACTTGCAATCAGTTGCAACAACAGACCTGGGGGCCATACGAAGAACTGCACTGGGTTCTGACCAATCTATGTCAGGACTTTTCATCCATTCCCAAAACACACGAATCCAGCTCAGCCTGTCCAGAGTAGACCCGAGAGCAACTGCTTCGGCGCTCAATGTGCTTCGAACGACTCGAGGGATCTTCTTTGAAGACCAAGCAACAGGACAAATAACAGTTTTCACATTCTCCTCCAACCTGCCATCAGTGGAAAATATTATGGTTCCTTGTCGAGTTGATTGTCCCTTTCCTGTCTCAAATGAAGCATCGGAGAACGCGCAGAACGTTACCTGCTGTTCTTTGATCGGCACGATCATCAGACTTACAGGATGAGACTTAGCCTCATACAAAACTCTATTTGCTGTGATCAAATGTTCGATCTTGCCTTTGGTGACAGCAGCCTGAAGCTCACCTATTTTTGCTGCTAGGTCAGGCCTGGTGTGTACGCTCGCGTACTGAAGGCTTCCGCAAATTTGTCGCAGCTGCTGCACTTCTACTGGACTCAAAGGACTTTGGGGATCCTGTCTCCGACTTCGAGGAATTTCTATGGGGTGGATACGTTGAATATAGGAATCTTGTGTCATCTCAATGGACCCATCATCCCACTGAAAATACCTAACACCACAAAACTCAAATTCCCCTTCATTGTAAGCCCCAAACTCATACTTCTTACGGAGCCGACCAATGACCTCCCGAAAATATTCATCTCCACCCCCAATCCCCTCGTCGACATGTAGTCCCAAGCATCCTCGGACTTTGGGTTTCCCATGGTGGTCTTTCGTGACCAGTGAAAATACGCATCCATCAAATGGGGACACTATAAAACCCAGGCTCTCTAGCGTTTGCTTGAGAGTTCGGTACCACAAAAGAGGGGCATCTGCCCTGCCATAAGCACCGCCCAACAGGCCGCACTGCTCATCTTTCTGTAGGCCTATTGCCTGTTGCAATTCAACTGGAGCATGTATTCCAAGCTTGCGTCCATCTCCTTGCCCTTTCAAGAAAGCGGTTGCTATGTCAAAGTTGATAAGCTTCCAACCCCTGCTGGCTACTTGTTGTAGGACCAACTGTTTCCCATCCTTCGTCAGTGTTGGAGCATCGGCGGAGATGGTTGAAAGCTGGGGATCCTCAAATCCACGGATGACTAGTCTTGCTTTTGCTCTCTCTTCCGTGAATCCTGGAGCAGGTGGCTTCCAGGTAAAGATCCAACGGCATCTCATTATTTGGCTATCATTAAGGGTGCCCCTAGCCAATCTACAAACTGTCTTATGATCAACCCAAGCCTTGATCTCCTTTTGTTTAGCCTGTTGGAACTTTACCTTTTCAGGCTCCGTCAGAGTGTTCCACTGGATCTCGACCTTCTGTTTCCGAGTGTCAGTGGCCATGAGCAACCATTCTCCTAGTTCGGGGTTTTCACAGAAATTGGTATCACAACCAGCATCCAAACCAAGTTCAGGACCATTGCCAAAACATATCTCCCAATATCCCGCATCACCAGTAACACAAGTAACATCATCCCCAAACCATGAATCTTCACCATCAACCGGAACAGGTATTTCATGGGCTTCCTTCTTTTCATCATCATCCATTGGGACCTCAACCACTTCATCCCCCCGAATAGACCCAGCTGGACTAGTAGGGGTATAACCATTTGAAGCCAAATCCGGTGGAAACATTTCACCGTCCGGTTGACTATTGGTGGTGCTCATGGGTACTTCTGGAACATCTGCTTGCGGTTCGTTTTGCTCTGTGTGATCCTCCGCTGGACTTTCGGCACTCAAATCAACAAAATTTCGACACTGAGAGTTGACCTGAGGTGCCTCAATTTTGCCTTCTGGTCCGCGTTGGAGGGTTCTAAATTCCCGCAAGGAAGCTGGCCGAACCTGTTGTGGGCTCGCTCGGATCAAATACCCTGCATGGCTAATCCAAATTACCTTCTGGCTTTCGTTGACGACAACTTGTCCTGGCCCATACCATCGCCCTCTATCTCCCTTTAAATTCCCCTTACTATGTCTCCAATAAAGTACCCAATCCCCTTTTTCAAACTCGGTGTTGTCAATTCTGGGTCTTCTTAGAAGGGCTCTTCGGAGGGCTTGACTGTTGTCGGCCTGAATAAAGGCACGGCGGGCTCTTTCACGCCTGGCCATGTCTTCTCGGAACTGTATGCCATCCGGTGTCTCGGACTCAAGCAACGAGTGGGCTGCAGCTTGGCTGTCTGCCATGAGAGATCCGGGAAGGGCCTTTGCCTTTCCCAGGACGGCCTGCTCAGGGCTGAACCCACGGACTTGTCCCAATGCATTTTTGGCTGAAAAAGCCTGTCTCAGACACTGCTTGAAGTCCTCAACCGATTCAATTGGCTGTTCAACATCCATTGATGTCAACATCTGTTTCACTATCCGTCCATGGGCCTCTGCACGACCGAGCTGCCAGTGGCTGTCACCGGCTGACATCGACACCTTGATATTTTCTTTCTGGAGAAAGGTGTGCCATTTGTCATTGACATATTCCCCAGCCGGATCTAGGTACAGAACTTTACAAGGACCAGCCCATTGTATCCAAACGTTTTCGAAAGTTGATATTTGTTGGTCTACCGTTCGGCCACTAACTGCCCCAAGGTGAAAAAGGGTTGACTCATCAATGAAATGAACGAAATGATAAGTAACACCCCTGACACCCTTCCAATATGCCCCATCACATCCAACCACATCATTAAAATCCCTAGGTTCATGTATGGTGGCTGGGTTGGGCAGTTTTGGACCTCGACGATTCTCTACACATACATCGCAGTGGAAATCTCTGGCAGCGTCAATTACCGTTTGATCAGCACCCTGCTCTTTGAGCAGTCTGCACAGTTTTTCTGGACTAGGGTGTCCCAAATTTGAGTGTAAACGTCTCAAATCACTACGCTTTTGAGGATCCAATGATTGAAATGCGGGACCACTTCGGGGCACAATCTTTGGGGCCCATCCTTCAATAATATTTTCTTTTACACTCCTTGTTGGGTCCGTCTCTGGTGCTGGAAGCAGTGCCACAGGAGGCTCTGCCTTTTTAACATTGAGGTCAAAGCTTTGAGAAGACAGTTCTTCTCGGCCAGTTGCGATTGACTCCAATGGAGGCAGAACATTTTGAACGAAGCGGTCAGTTGCCGGGGCATCTGATTGTCGACGGTCAGAGACACTATCAGATTTTTCCCCAAACACCGTGACAGAAATCCTTGCTGAGCCAGCTTTCCTCGTTTGCTGAAGTCTTGACAAACGAACCCAATTTTCGGGTGGCCCCAAATCAACAATTCAGCCATCATCCCTAGAGACCAAAATAGTCTTTCTCCATGGCATGTCCTGATGCTCAGCATGACTTCCTGGTGTTCGATACTTTTCGGTTCCACGGCACAACAAAACCAGCTTGACTTGAAGTTCAGGAACAAGCATGTGGAAGTCCTGACACATTGGGTCTTCACTGTGAATCACAAGATTACCAACTCGGGGTAAAGACTTTGTAACTCGCTTAATTGCATCACTCCAAGAGGGAGCCTTCCCATAACCGGAAAATGATAGTGGTGGCCCAGTGTCAAGATCAGCTCCACGCGGTGGTCCTTTAATTCCATGCCGCCGCCGTTTTTGGCATTGGGAATCTTCAGGTGCCGGGTCTGGTGCTACATGTTTTTCACCAACAGCAAACACATCATCGGGTTCCCGGAAAAGAACAACAGGGGGTTCACAAAAAACACACTCTTTCAGGAGCTTATCAGCAACAAAGGACCCAAACGAGGACGTGTATGCAGCTGCATAGGTGGAAACATTCATGTATTTTCCTTCATGTTTCATGGACCCTTGAATAACCATATGTTCATGTTTTCTGTCACAATACCTTTCATGAAGATGGTGGTCAAGGTATCCACTACTGGTGTTTACCCTGGTTCGTTTTTGGAGGTACAACTGACTTTGGGGCATCTTGAGTTTCCCAATTTTACACATGTCGAACACTGAAGGCAACGTTCCATCTCTGAAATCGGCTAACTCAGGTTGTTCTAACATGATTGATTCACTTGGCTGTTCAAGATGCACATGTCTTCTTTTGGAAGTTTGATACAAATAGATTTCATTGCACAACTGCAGGTGATGACGGTTTTCAATTCTTTGTCGGGCAATCCTATCATGTAGTTCGAGGCTTTTGGACATGTTCAGACTTGAAAACTTTCCCCATAACCGGCATTCTGGTGCAAGCCAAATGTGACGTGGTTCATAGAGATATATCCACAACCAAAGTTTTTGGACTCCTTCACATGTTCCTAAATCCCCATCATCACAGGTAAAACGCATGGCTCTACCACCTCTTTTGTTGACATGGTGAGTAATTTGGGAATTGGGACCACAATATACTTCAAGTAAGTCCAATGGCCGACTGTGGCTGTGTCTCGAATTGTTGGGCGATACCAGGTTCGGTTGATTCTTCAGGGCAGCATTTCTTTTGGGCAATTTGGACAACCCGTCCTCCACCTCAGCAATCTTGAGGGCCAGTTCCTGATGAATCAACTTTTCCTGGTCAGCACTCAGTCTTGAAAGTTCAGCATTGCTGTTGATATATTCAACCGCCTTATCAACTTCTTCATCTACTGGGCTTCGCCATCGCTGAGCCCTTGTGTCTCGCGCGCCAGTTCTCGCTGGAGCAAGGCGATGTTGACTTTCAGCTGCTGAACTTTCTCTGCATTCGGTTCGGTTGACATTGGAAGATTGGGAGCTTCGCTCCCTGATGCGCACGTGGCCCTTTTCTTTCCGGTCTCGATCTTGGAAGATTTTACCTCCTTGATCTTGACCCATGCCTGGGACTCCGCATCCACTCTGGTTGGACTCTGATCGCCTTTGATCTGAGTCGGGAATGGTTTCACTTCGTTTCGATTGAGCATCTCCACAGTGACTGGAAATCCCTGTTCCTGGAGCTTCTGCGACTGGATGTAATCGGCTTGAACTCGAGTCCGACTGTACATCTGGAAACTCTTGACCCACTGTGAGACTGCCTTGCGGTTTCGTAGTTGAAACACATAGTTCTGATCCTTGAAGGCTTCGCTGAAGGTCTTTCCTCGGTGCTTCCCTTCCGGCAGCACATATTGACCCCATTCGCGGAGAGTGCTCACCTCCGGTGGATGCTGGAGCACTTCCGCACTGCTTGTCTGCGGATTCTTGGCCATGGTCAGTTCGGGATTGATCTCCGATTGGAGCTTCTGGTCTAGATAGTTGGTATCTATCTGTTCCGTCGGCATGATCTGTGGTGGAACGTGTCGATGATTCGTTCACACTCTGAGTTGGGCAAATGGCTGCGGCATGTTTACTGTGGCAAAATTCATTAACATGGCATGGTTCCTCATGGTCTTCAATATTCTGTACATTTGTCGTGCCTATGAGAACCACTGGGTGGTGAGCTGACTCATGTGTGGGCATGTTTTCATCATGTTTCATGTCGGTGTCGTTCATGTTTTCCGTCCCATGGGTGGCAACATGGATTTCGTCCTCCTGTTTGGATCCCTGTTTTCCAATCTCCAGTATCTTCCCAAAATCCACACTCATGAGGTTCTTCCTACAAGACTTCAGGGGTACCCCATCATTACTCCCCTTAAACCACAACATTCCCCCATCAACATCAACCACGGCTTTGAGAGACCTTAGTACTGAATTAGACAGTAGGAATGGTGTCTGACCCGGAACCACCTCAACTCTGATCCAACCGCCAGTTTTCCGTGGAAAGAACACTGCTGAAGTGCTCTGAAGAGTGCCCGCGTTGCCAAATCTAAAAACAACTTTGGAGGGGGTCACTTTCACCTTACCAGCCAGGCCACAGGAATCAATAAGCCCTTTAAGACGATTCGACCCAATGACTGCCCGGCTAGCCCCCGTGTCAATGATTGCTTCATTGCACTCTTCTTCAAATTGGAAAACTGTCTCTACACCATGGCCCAGGTTTGTTTGGGTCTTGGTGCACGGGTGGGATTCTCTCAGAGCTGCATTCCCTCTCATCAGGCATGGTCTTGGATTCGAGTTGACCACCGGTGATTCACGCATTTTCCTCGAGCATTGTTGCAGACGATTGCACAGATTCGTTGCAAAATTTGGACCATCAAAACTACCTTCATCACTCATAAAAATTTCATGGCTATTTGCCTCTTGAAATGTGAATGAAGTTTCAAACAGTTTTGACGCATGCTGATTATCCTCAACACACAGTGTATTTTGGGAAGGAATAAAAACTTTGAAGCTGACTTTTGTCAGAGTTGTGTCCTCTTCCCAGTCCTTTGCCTCAGGCGGTACCTCGTCACAACCTCCATCACCTTGTCATCGTCATCCAAGGAGCCGAAATGCACCTCGTTGGTTGGCGGCTGTTCGGTCTTTCGGTTCTCGGTTCGTTGAGGGCATTCTCTCTTCCAGTGACCTGCTGCCCCGCAAATTCTGCACGTCGAATTTGCGATACGATCTGCCAGTGATCGTCTTCGTCCAAAAGGGGTGTTATTGAAGGAGCTTCCATAGTTCCCCCCTTTTCCCTTTTTGCCTCCTCCTTTGGTTTTGAACTTTCCTTTCACTGGCCAGAAGCCTCTGGATCTAGCACGTTCACGAACTCTGGCGCGAGCCTCTTGATAGCTCACGAAGCATTGGGCCAGCTCTGCATGATCCTGGATGGCTTCCACGATCTGGTCCTCAAAGTCATTGACATAGATTGCATCCTCATCCCCGCTGTCCGCCATCATTTGAAAGATGGCCTCTTCATCACCTTCACCATCTTGTTCATGATAAGTGACCATCACGGACTCATCATTTTCATCAGCATGGTAGGCATCATACGCCTTTTTGGGTGCCGTTGTCTTTCCAGATTGTTGCAAGTCCTGGAAAAACTTTGATCCAAGAAGTCTCATGCTTTTCCTTGCTGTCTCGTATGTAAGGTCTCCTCCATTGTCCAGGATAACCTTCTTTCTGTCTTCAGAGCTCATAGTGGACTGACGCACCAGTACATAGGCACGAATGTCCTTGATTGTGATGTTCTTGGCCTCCAAGTCCTCGAACGCCAAGTCATGGCGAGCCAGGTAGCTGTCGTTGCTTTCGTCGGCCTTTTGCACCACAGTATATAGTGCCCTTTCGAACAACTCATACTTCTCTTCAGTGCTCAGTTTTCCCCATTGGCCTCCAAGGCTCTCTATGAGAAACTGGACACCCTGCTTGGTCCGTAACTTGGCTGGATCCAGCCGGGCCACCTTCTGGAATGCTGATCCTTCGATCAGCAGTGCAGCCCTCGGGGCCAAGTGCTCGATGTGATCTGCTGGCCAAATGGCGTGCAGGAATCTCATCTTCTGCTCGTAGATTCTGAGGTCCGTCACATTCGGGTCAAACTTTGGAATTTGCCCCCATGGTAGTGACGTCAACGTACTCGGGGCTCCGCTCAAAGGATCTCCCGCTTGCGCTGGACCATCAGTCCCCGACATGGCTCACTTTCAAGGCGAAGTGTGAATTCCCTGTGCTTGCAAGGGAACTAAATTACCAAAACTTTTCAAGTTACCCTAAACTTGAATTGACTGCCCAATTTATCCAGCGGCGGGCCAGCCGCTCCGCTACCAATGTGAATCTGATATTCCCAAAATCCTTAATTGAGGGTCCCCAACCACTGCAACCTGCGACACCCAGTTTCGCTGTCCACCAATGAAGTCCGCCCTCCCACCCGCTTGAGAAGGAGCGCACGGATGGGCGCCAAATTGGAATTCCATGGGATCTCAATGGAAATCATATGGGACAAGCAGCACCATGTGTCATGTGGAATGTTGAACATTAACAATATATATATATATATATATCATATTATATAATATACACATACCTGACATACCTCAATGGAACTAGCACGGACTGCCCAATGCAGACATCACGCTCCAGGCAACGTCCCTTGGCATCATCAAGTCTTTCAGGCGAGGGACAGCAAGATACTTTGTTGGAGTGGCCTTTGGTCGAGATTTTTGAAGAGTTCTACCACCCATTTCTGGTGATATTCGGGATTGTTTAGGGATGGTTTAGGGATGGTTTAAGGCTGGTTTAGGGTTTAGGGCTTGCCAGGGTTTACCACGTTACCAAGCTTTTGAAAAGCAGTGCCAGGTTTGTTTGATAGCTTGTTTGAGATTCTTCAACTAGATAAAGATGCATTCACAACGTGTTCAATTTGGATCCATTCAGGTATAGTACTGGTAAAATATTGTAGCCATCGCAGACATAGACTTCCCGATCTTTGCAAACTAAGCAGCGACTTCGTATCTCAGAGCAATTGAGATGAGATATCACGGCATAATATGGAAAGTACAGATTGACTCGATTATATATATATATAATATGCATACATGTACGGTATACATCTGTGTTATATGCATACATCGTATACCTGCGTAAACCTTTGTATTGGCGGGGCATGTGAAGGTACCGGAGAGACTGGAAAGAGATGAGCTTGTCACCTCCTCTGGACCGTTTACACCTTGTCCGTACCATCACCACCATCCTCGCTCCACCTTCGGTCTCAATGTTCCCTCCGGTGGATCTTGGATGAGACAGTAGCGACCACGAACCACCGAACCGCTTCCTCACTGTTCCCGTCACCCTTCACCTCTGCCTCTTTCCCCACTCCGCTACGCTACGTGAATGAAAGGTGAAGGGTGATGGTAGTACTGGAAGGAACTTACCTTGTACCGGAGGATGTCGTTCACCTGCTTCCCTGTCACCTGTGTTCGCTCTCGATTCCTTGTCAGATCTATACATATAATATATAGTTCCCCTGCCCACCTACCCTATGTTTTACCTGGGTGCTAAGTGACCTAGAGGCATTCGGTGCTGGCCACCTCTGGATCTGGATGAGACTTCCAAGCATGGGAGGCAGGAGCCCTGCACAGCCAGCAATTGGGATTCTATAGTTTTATGGTGGTTATTGGTACAATAGTTATTCTATAATATTCTATAATATTCTATAATTATTGTTCTTTTTTTTCTTTTAATATGATAACACATAATCCCATTGTTATTGATAACAATCACACTGCCAAGGGGATCATCATTGATATATATATATATATGTATAATATGATATGGTTACCGATCTTTATTCCGTATATTGAATCAGTGTCTAGCTATAATCTATTCTGTACTATACATTCGGATATTATATAAGATACACACAACAAACACCTGGAAAAGTTACGGATCATTAACAAAATTAGTTGGGATATCACATGACATTAAGATGATATCAAGCCCGTATTAAGCAACAGTCAACGGGGATGATTTTTGATACTACAAAATATGTGACTGCTACCAGCAAAGAATGGGATTTTAACAAAAAGTGAGGATGGTACTACAGTCACATTATCCACAATATGATCAATATGTTAAGACTCAGACCCAAACCAGATTTGTCAGGCTTTGCCCTGTATTCCAAATCCAGGACTTTCAGCGATCATCGCGGTGCTTATAAGTGATCCGCGTTTCACACCGACTGACTGAGTCACTATTTCGGTGGTTTTCAGTGGCCTTGATCATTGCCGTTGCTCCGGTATGTCTTGGAAGGAGAACAGCCAAAACAGTTATTACTGCATTTATTGCCAAAATCAGCCGTCCTAAGTATATGTGTGGGTAGATTGCTTGCCCACTTAATATGCGACATTCCGAGTTTATGGCGCCTTGTAATCTTGTTTTTGTCGCCATTGCGAGAATATGTTTAATATGGACCTTTCCCGTATATCATGGTGGCAAGAACAACTACCAACTTGATAGCCGTGTTGTGTCAAAGTGACTTTTTCATACTTTTTCCATCCTTTTTCCATCAAACCTGGACATGCAGCTTGGGTATGGCTGACAGGTGAGGCATCAAGGTTTCGAGTGCGGCAAAGGTTGGCCGAAAAGAACGCGCTTGTACAGTACTTATTTTGGTGGCAGCGGTAGCATTTTTCCTCGCCAGGATTCACAGATATTCACAGTTGCCATGCCAAGAGTAGCAAACTTGCAACTGGAATTTCCATGAATTTCCTGTTGATGGAATGAACAGCCAATTCTTTGAGACATGTTAATCATGTTATGAACTGTTCGGGGATTTGAAACTCCAGCTTTTGAGGAGTCCGCGAGTCGCATTACTTTCCATTGTCAACAAGGCGAGAACCTACCAAAGCTGCTGTCGTGTACTATCTGGCGGTCGCCCTTTGGCGCCTGTCTCTCCTACGACGCCTGACCACTGATCACTGATATAAAGTGATGCTTTTGAAAGCAGCAGGGGTCTTCCCGCGCTTGACTCAATGTGCGGATCTGCCTAGCAGGTAGACAGCAAATAGTGACGCAATCTGATCAGCACATTGGTTAAAGCAGACGTGAACCTAAGAGTCACTGTCTCGATACCAGTGATCATTCGCCTGCCAAAACAAAACGGGGTTCGGACATGTTCGGACCAATTTGCAGTGGGGTGCTCAGTGATGCAATGCAGATGTGACATCGATGGTCTAATTCTGTGGCAATTGGATGTTGCTCCAGTGCTGCCAAGTGCGTACTGTCTGTCGCGTTGTGAAGCCTCTTCCAAGGAAGATCAAACTTGAGAACAGATTTGGCATGGAGCCTTTTGAATAGAAATTCTTTGATCTTACTGAGAATCTTACTGTAATGACAAATCATCGAATTCATATGACTTCATGGATCTTGCATGGATCTTGCCAGTTCTTTGTTCCAAATGGTTTTTTCCCATCGAATGGATTCAGGAGCAATGCACCATTGCGCCATGGCGCCGTGGCACCATGAAGCGGCGCTCCATGGAAGTTGACTCGAGGAGCCGTGGAAGCCGCGGAAGCTGTGGTCTGGATTTTGTTGGGCTGGCGGCTGGGTGGAAACGCTGGATCCATTTACCCTCTGGTAATTTAACATAGCTATTGAAAATGGCCATTATTAATGGGTAAATCCACTATAAATGGCCATTTTCAATAGCTACGTTAAATTACCAGAGGGTAATCCATTTCTGATGTTTGATTATTTCTGAACAAGAGGGACCAGGGCCCAGGAAGGCCTGTCCCATCCTTGCTGCATCTTGCTGCTTCTGCAGGATGGATGCAGCGGTGTTGGAGACCCAAGAAGCCTTGGAGGAGCTACGCAGACGATGGGAGGCACAGCCATTGGCCGAGGTCGGTGCTGGTGGAGATGTCTACTGTTTCTATAGCTTTCCATGGCATTCCATGTCTTCGCTGAGACGTGCTGGGTTTCATCACAGGATTTTTTTTTGGTCCAGAAGATTGCACAACATATCAGCAGGAAATGGACTGAAATGGAGAGTAAGCTGGCCTGGAGGGTAAATATGTCAAGCATTGCAGTTGGAAACATAATGAATGTTTCTTTGGCAACTCTGCATTTATCAGTTTATACATCTCTGTGTTTCATTTTACACTGTGGTCGATTGCGCAGGCAATCGCTGGATTAGACTCAAACGAGCTTTCAGCTGAAGGCTATCGTTGCACGGCTGAGATATTTCGGACCTTTTGGGCAAGGGAGGCAAGTTAAGTTTTCGGGTCGCGTCATCACTCAAAGAACATCTGGGTAAAATTAGCACTTCAAGATTTGAACAATGTCGTTTGCGGATTGTGCATGCTGAACCCCAATTGCCTTTGGAGAAGAGCTTTTCTGCCCCTTGCAGTGTTCCGTTGTTTTTGCTGAAGAGAATCAAATTCCCCAGGCTGGTTAGCTCAGCTCCAGGTTGGAGTCAGTCAGTGAGTCTTCACTACGTGACGCCCTCGAAAGCCGCGCAGAGTTGCAAAGCCTTGAGCCAAAACGAGATGAGAGATGGCCCTTTGGCATATCTTGGCATATCTTGGCATATGTTGGCATATCTTGGCATATCTTGGCATATGTTGGCATATCTTGGCATCTAATAATGTAGAGGATGTGTGTGTGTGTTTTTTTCCTCAGTTTGCCCATTCTGAAAAAAATCACCGTATTTCACGTGGCTCTTGAGATGGATTTGACATCAGGATTGAAAGCGCCTAGTGCCAGCCTTTCAATGCCTGCAACCCATGAAGCACTGTGCATTGCGCCAGCGCCACCCTGTGGCTATGGTTTGTTCGTTCCTTGGCTTAGCTGACTTCCGGGAAAGCCGAAGGCCTGCAATGCGCCGAAGGCCCTGCATTTTTTGCTCCATTTTGAGGCCATGCGCCCACTGAAGCAGGGCCTACGATTGGGCGAGTACACGGGGGAAGCACGGAGATATGATCTATGGTGCGAAGAGATTAAGGTGGGCCAACGCAACTTTAGCGGATGTCTTCCACAAAAACAACCAACCCAATACCGGTTCTTTTGGCCATTTCCCTTGCCAAGTACCCTCTCAAGCTTCGACAAGCTGGGAAGAAGAGGTCTGTCTCTGCAATAAATCAATTCATCATAATTCATCTCCATTTGCCAAGTGGACATGCAGCCAAGCAATGTGACCAAAAAACCTATATATTTGATTGGTTATTGGTTATGGGGATTATACTACCTCGCATACAGGCATTACCATCATCCACCGTGGGAATCCTTATTAATTACACAACGAGTACAATGGACTTTGAACACTGTGTGGAAATCAAAGCCAGGCGCGCAAAGTCGCGCTGCGCGGCAAAGATGATGCTTCACCTTTTATCGTTGAGGAGTTGTATGCTGCCTGGGCAGGTTGGCACGTCGCTGTAGCCATTTCAAGGTGCTATATTTTGCCATGATACAATGTCAAAGTCAGTGGACAATGCTCAGATTGCAACCCAAGTTCATTCTCAAGCATATTTACTTGGGTATATTCATTTGAATGATATTATTTTCATATATAATATATATATATATAATGCAATATCTATTTAGTTTCAAATTTTTACTACACTAGACCATTCTCCCTGGCATCAAGACCTGCCGCCAAGAACTCGGAGGTGTTGGAAGTGGCGAAGGTGTTGTCATAGACGCTTTTGTCATAGACGCTTTTGCCAAGGGCAATGCAATGCGCTGCTTGGCATTTGAATGTGCTCGGAGCCTCCAGTGTTTGGTGATGTTTGGTGCATGTCCTGGTGTATTTCCATCCTGAAAGTGTGGAGGCTTGCTCTCAACACCAAAGTGTAGGCGAGATCTTGATGGTTAAGGTATGTACGTTTCCTGTTGACGCCTCTAAACTATTCGTAAGTCCCAAAACAAATCGAAGCCCTTGTGGACAAAGAAGCGCTGTTTTGGCAGTTGACCTGAGATTCCTGGGGCAGCTACCGTACTTGTGATCAGATTTTGTTTTGCACCCTCCGTGGTTAGGCTCTTCATCGTCCCCTCTGAGCCTCTGTTGCTTAGGATTTATCAACTGCAGCTGCCATCCCAACTGTTCATTTAAGAAGCTTGACTTATAGCAACCTCGGACCGTTTCCGCCCTGGGGCCCCAAGATACTGCCCAGCCTCAGTCACTATGTTAGCTGATTTGTATCAGATGGCTGTGGGAAGTTGACCTTGCACTTGCAGATGCCATGATTGGGCTGCTACCACTGAGTTTTTAACGCCAGATGTACCGCAGCTTGTTCTGTAGCCAGGATGTCCCTAGGCCCTGTGCCTTCTTTGATGATCCAAATTTGAATGAGCCTAAAGACTCAGATGATTTACGCATCTCTCAAGATAGATTTTCCTCAAAAGTCTGTTCTGAGAATGACAAATGGATTGTGTGATTTCTCAGGAATGTTGGAGCGGCCTTTGAAAAACATGGCCGCTTGCTGGTTGACCCTCAGCAGCAAGCTGTCGGCGTTAACCGGGAAAAACTCTGGAAGTGGTCATGTCACTTGTGTAGAGGACCAGCACATTTCCTGCCTAGGACATGATGCTGAACAAACCTTTGGAATCCTTTGGACATCCTATTTTTTAAGAGTGTAAGGCTTGCTCCTGAAATGTACTGTGGATAATTTTTGGAAGACAAATTCATATCCCGAATAGAATCTGCCTTGAGTGGCTTGTCCCAGCTTCAAGTCTGTGGGTCTTGAACAAGACCAGCAAAGTAGATTTTAAACTTCTCACCTTTTCAACATTTTTCAACTAGCATCAAACAAATTGTTTGTGCTACTATCAGCAAACCTGTTGACCTTTAAGCGAACTGATGCGAACTGCAATGTCTTGCTTAGTGCTTGCAAAGGCGATCAGCAACAATGGGTGCTACATGGTGGTACCAGGGTCTTATTTGAATCACTTTGAATCCTCCACATCTATGGTGTCATCGAAGCAGTTTGATCTAAGATATCTAAGGTCACAGCGCGTGACATTGAAAAACATGAGCAGCTCTCTGTGGATTACGGTCTCTCAGCTGCGGCCAGTCAGGGTGTAGCATCGTAGCGTCAAGAAAGCTGCAGATGGTCAGGATTTCTCTAGCTGGGTTTCTGCAGAAATGGGGGTATCTACCCCAAATAATGGCAAATTTCACGGCGGAAATGTGGTTTTAGCTATACCCAAAACAATGTCAGGGTCACCAGGGTCACCCCATCCTTGCACTGCCATGGCAGGTTGGTATTTCGACCCTGCTACCTTGGTGGAAATTCGAAGCGAGGCCACCAAGGCGTACAATGAGGACCTGAAAAACTTGCAGGTGCCCACAGGAAACGAGGACCATGCTTAGAGCGCGTAGCGGCTGGTGTTTTTGTATGTTTTTTGTATGTTTTTCCCCACCTGCCAGGTGAGGGTTGTTAGATTTTATGTCAGTTGCCTCCTCCTCCTCCTGCTCCGCTCCTCCTCCTCCTCCTCCTGCTCCTCCTCCTCCTCCGCCTCCTCCTGCCTCGTCCTCCTCCTCCTCGTCCTCCTTGTCATCCTTGTCGTCCTTGCTCAACTGCGACCCGCGATCCACAGTGTTCTCTGCCGGACCTCAACCACGACCACCCACGCCCAGTGTTCCCTGCCGGACCTCAACCACGACCATCCACGCCCAGTGTTCCCTGCCGGACCTCAACCACGACCATCTGCGCCCAGTGTTCCCTGCCGGACCTCAACCACGACCATCCGCGCCCAGTGTTCCCTGCCGGACCTCAACCGCGACCATCCGCGCCCAGTGTTCCCTGCCGGACCTCAACCGCGAGTATCCATGCCAACTGTTCCCTGACATATCTTCTGACATATCTTCTGACATTTTATTTGGCATTCTATCTGGCATATCTTCTGGCATATCTTCTGGCATTCTATCTGGCAAATCTTCTGGCATTCTATCTGGCATTCTATCTGGCATATCTTCTGGCATTCTATATGGCAGATCTTCTGGCATTATATCTGGCATATCTTCTGGCATCCTATCTGGCAAATCTTCTGGCATTCTATCTGGCATATCTTCTGGCATATATTCTGACATATCTTCTGGCATTCTATCTGGCATATCTTCTGGCATTCTATCTGACATATCTTCTGACATTCTATTTGACATATCTTCTGACATTCTTCTACAGCAAGTTACTACAAATTACTTGAAGGGATCTCATGCTGGATTGATGCTTGAGACAGTCAACATCACACAGAGTTTCTATTGTGTATCACAGCTATGGTAGCATGGTGGATATGTGACATCGGAACATTTGCTGGAGCATTTGCGCCCTCATCTACTCGATCGCGGGCCAGAGGCAGGATGGACATCATCATAGAAGCATTCAGCAGGAGGAGGTTATGTGATCAGTAGTGTCTTCTTGCGTGTTTTTGTTTGCTTGGCAGGTGATGGCAGAGGGTGACCAATCTGCGAGTGCTGCGCAGGCGATGAGTTTGAGTGGAAGTAAGCACATTGGCCAGTAAGTGTTGGATAAGTGATGTGGAAAGCAGCTTGTGCTTTGGGACCTTGCGCAACAGCCAAGGCGAGCTCAAGCACAAGCAGAAACGTGAATAAGATAATGGTGCTCAAAGGATAGGGAGATGAAACGCTTGAGAATAGAAATGTAGTAGGTGTATCTCTTCGAAATGTTTCAGTGAGAAAGAGTGGAGAAGTTACATACGATCTAGATATTTAGATGTCGCTTGGCACTGCAAGATGGACACTATCTTTTTGCACTTGGGAAGTTTGAACACATTGGGACTGAACTGGTTTTGACCGGGAAGGTCTTGTGTTTCAAGAGCCATGGCAAAGAGATCATGGCCATTTGCTGTCACGAGTTGGGATGACACTGTGAAATTTGCGCAGCTTTTGTTTGGTGTAGACGTTGTCTATGAGAACTATGCAGAGAGATTGCCGCATAGATCGAATAAATCTTTCTTGCTATTCGCCAAAGGCGCTTGTGCTGAGGGAAGGCCCTTCTTCGAGATCGGAGATCTCATTGCGCCACAGTTGGAAGAGATTCAATGTTGGGAACAAAATGTTCGCAACAACAATGCGCGTCCAACGAAATCGCAGCAGATGCTGAATTCTGACGGATGGACTGTGTACTACTGGAGTGCGCAGGTGACGCGTGCTCCCTGTCTGTGTCGCAGCAGCTTTGGAGCAGACGCTCACCAGAAACATGTGCCAACTTCATCGGCCATGTGGCAAGCTGGAAGCAGATTTGAGAAATTATGGGACGCCACATTGATGAAGAACTATGAAGCTTTTCAGAATCGAGACCTGCGTCCCACTTGGCTTGACAAGTCGTGGCAGGTGTTGTGGAATTGGAATGATCACAACAAAAATCATGGAATCAGCCCTCATTCAGATGAGTCTGCCACCTACAGCAATGTTGATCCGATCACGTCCTTTTCCTTTGGGCATGGGGGTGTGTTGACCTTGGGCCCCAAAAAAGGTTCAGTGACAGGGATGTTGTTCCAAGAAGGCGGTGACGCTTTGGTGATGGCAGGAGACTTCCAAGCAGAGTTTTGCCATGGTGTGCCGGCGCGCTCCACTTGGAAAGACTTGAAGTCGCTTCCTATGTTCGCTACAATGCAAGAGTGGGAGAAAGTTGGGCTGCAGCAGGAAATTGCTTTGCATGAAGGTGCTGAGCCAGAAGCCAAGCATGTCCGTATGAATTGCACGGTCCGCTGGCAAAGCACACATTGGGCTGGATGTCCGGTGCGGGGGCAGGAAGGTCATGGGACTCAACCGGTTTCGACTGGAGCTGTCCAGACGTCTTCAAGCTCTTTGGCGCCTGGCGAAGAGCCTGTGAATGTTTCTGCTGGAGCTGCGGCAAGTACCCAAGGGACTCAACCGGTTGTGACTGGGGCTGTCCGGGTGCCTGCTGCAAGCGTGGTGGATCCAAAGCAGTCGCTTCTTTTCACTGGCATTAAGAAGCGAGGTGTGGAAGAAGAGGCAACGCCCTCTGTCAGCACAGTGAAAACATCTCGTTCGGGTGAAGACTTGCTGCTGGAGCGCTCGGATGAGACAATTAAGATTCTACTGGATTGTATTGAAGCATGCGTGCGACAGAATGATCTGTTTAGGGTGGCCGTTACCAGCACTCCATTGGTCGCAGCCACAGAGGTGCATGCTGAGATGTTGGCGAGGATTGATGAAAATGTGAAAAATTTGAGGGCCCGGCTTCTGGCGGCATCAGAAGCCGTTGAAGCATGTTCGCGTTATCGAGTTGACCGAGTTCATTTCCAGTCGCTGAACCTGATGGAGCTGGCAGCGCAGCAGCGCAGAATGATTCACAGGGACCTTGGCAATTTCTACACTGTTGAAAATTCGTCTTGGCTGATAGAAACAAGAATCAAACCCCAACAAAATTGTATGAACAAAGAGATGCAGTATCGCAAGTGTTTGCTTTCGCATCGTCAACTGGAGTTACTTCTGGAAACTTTGAGCGAAACAATGATGAAGGAGTATAAGGAGATTGCCTTTGACTTGCGCAGCTTACAGCGTGAGGTTCTTCCATCGAAGTTGACCTGTGCAAAGAGGCACCAACAGGCGAAGCAACATCAAAATGAAGATTTTGGGGTTGGATGTGTATGAGTTTGCTTCTGATTCAGTGCTCTTGGTGAAAGCTTTGGAGGTTGGTTACTTATTGGACATTGACAAGGCCACGCGCTTCAGGTGTGGACCAGCGCTCTACTTCCAAGCAGTCCACACGGGCCTTGGCTACTCAAGGCACGAAACGAGCGCAGACACCAGGTTCAACCCTGCGGTTCGATGCAAAGAAAATGATGTGCCTGATTCTCTTTTCTTGCTTCACATGTGCTGGAGCTTTGAAAGATGACAATTTTGATGCCAACCCATGTGATGTTTCTCATTTTGCCTGGAGTCTCATCCCAATTTTGTTTTGCTGCATTGGCTGGTTGAGAAAAGGGGCCAACAGTTTTGCTGTTGTGTGCGGTCTCGCCTGCCTTGTTTCTTTCATTTGCAGTGTGAGCATTGCAAGTCAGGTCGCTGTCAGTGAAGTCTTGCACTTCAGTTTTGCTTTCAGTTACCAATTTGCCATTCGTTGTGGTGTGTCAGCAACCCGAACTGCACTGCACTTTTTGCACCCTGATTCTGTGTGGATCTGGTTGTGCCTCTTTGGGGCTGTGTTGTGCGATTTTGCTTCGGGGTGGGTAGCACGAATCCTTCACAAGCGAACTTCGAAAATTCGCAAAATTTTGCCAGCTAGAAAGATTGCGCACCAAAGGATTTGTCCGCCAAGGGGCAAACGTTTTGCTTTGCGTGCCAGGTTTTGCTTTGACATGTGCATTTTTGTTTGCCCCAGAAATGACACAACAGTTTTGCATGAGAAGACGGGCGGAAACATCAAGTATGATTCGCCAACTTTCAGCCAAATCAATTCACCTGAGCTGCGAGGGGGCAGCGGTGGGGGTGGCTCTGCGGCCACACGCCGGAAAAGGGATGAACGAGATTTGCTGAAAGGACTCAAGGAGTTGCTGCAGTCTTTTGCTCCTCAGAACAAAGCAACTGCTCCTCCCAGTCAGGGGAAAAAGAATCAAGGTCGAAAAAACCAATCCCTCTTGGGGGCCTTGAAAACATTGATTGCCAGAGCTGAGAAAAATCATGACGACCTATTGCCAAAGTTAGCCAAACTTGTCGCAGCTGCTGACGATGGGAAAATTCCCATTCTGGATCAGTCCAAAGAAACAAAGCCAGGATCGAAACCTGATACCAAGACAAAACCAATGACAAAGACCAAAACGGATGCCAAGCAATCAGTGCAGAGTCATCAGACTGTTGATACTGAAGATTGGACCCGGGTCACCCGGCGCAAGCCCAAACCTGACAAAGTTGGTGGAGGCAATGACACTGCGAAGCCAAAGCCAAATATGCCTGTTTTCCATCTTTGGAGAGATCCCACATTGCCACATCATGTAAGCTCCTACAAAGCTGTTTCCAATGATTTGCAGGAAGGAAAGCCACCAAAGGCGAGAATTGTCGAAGTCACTGGGCCCCAAGCGGATGATCTCCGAAACTTGTGGCAATCTCATGACATCAAAAATGCCAGCATCACTCTCGCTTTTGTCAACAGTGAGGCACCAGCACAAGCCAAGAAACAGTGGCTGCATGTCACTGCTGGTGGGGCACCTCCTACGGTGAGGCTCGTCCCGTGCCTTTGTTTGGGTAGCCAAGCCAGTCAACTGCCTACGGTGAAAGTCACGCAAGCTACAGCACCTGCCGTTGCTGAAGCGGCTGTTCTCCGTGTTACCTTCGACAAGCAGTATGTTTCTGAAGACGAATGGAAAAGAACTGTCTCGAAACCCGCCAATGCTTTCCATGCAATGACTGAGAAGAAGGGACTTACTCAACAAATCATTGCCACTTATGGTTGGCGTATCCTGTCTGCATCACGCTGCTCTGATCAAGTCACAGGATTCCTTAAAGTGACTTCCTCTGCCAAAGACGCGTTTCTTCATGCCTCCGGAATTGGTGGATGGTTCATTGATTCCCTTGCCAAGCACGGACCAAAAGCCAATGTTGAGTGGATCACCCCTTTGATCGATGAGCCTAGAATTGATTATCGAATTAGGGTGCTGAGTGACGCTGACGGAAGTGGTGTTGCTTTGAGGCAAGGTTCTGGTGCAGCCCTGGGCATCCGAACGCCATCCAGGCCAACTGACACTCCCAAAGCTGCAAATTGGCAGCTTGATGGAGTCCCAAAGTTTTGGACTTTGGAAAATGTTTGCAGTTTGCTCACTGAAAACAAATGGACAGATGTGGCGCCAATCAGCAAGCCTCAGGGCAACAGAGGCTGGATCCTTCGTGCTACTCCTCCTGACAATGGGTTGTGTCATGTGTTTGAACTGCCAAATGCGGCTCCTATCATTCTTCATTTGGCTGCCCATAGAGGACCCAAAAGACAACAAAAGCCTATCGCAAGAGCTGGATGTGACATCCGACCTGCTGTCAGCAAATGGTCCAAGGCGGTCGGTGGAACGGTGGCTAGCGGCAATATAGCTGAAGCAACACCACCAAAGGATGCCATGGAAGTGGAGGTCGCTCACAGTTCAAACGGTGAGGAAATGGATACTTCTGGTCAAGCCACCAAAAGGCAAACTGAAACCAAAGGTGCCTCTCCTGAAAAAAAGAGGGCCAAAGCTGTTTGTACGAATTTTGACACACCATTTGGATTCCAACGAGTTGACTGTGGAGGCAATGGTGATTGTGGTTACCGAGCCGCGGCGGCAGCTTATGCCCTTGCGGACGGCCGCGACCTCAAAGAGACCAAAGAAAATGCTGCAACCCTCGGGGCTACATTACGGGCTCAGGTAGCAAGCCATTTAAAAAAGCATCAGCTTTGGAAAGACTCATGGGCACCTGATGATCGATGGACAGAATCAACAGAAGGCGGCACAGTGCCTACCACCTACGATGAGTGGTTGGAAAGCACGGCTCGTCCAGGCCGGTGGGGTTTGTGGCCCCACTCTCATCGGCATTGCCACCAGGCTTAAACGCAATCTTGTTGTTTTTCGTTTTGCGGATGACAAATGGGAAAAAGCCGACTTGATCACTCCACTCGAATCCAATGCCAAGGATGTTAGCACTGCTGCTTCCTTTCCACCTCTTCCTTTATTTCTGAAAGACAACCATTATTTCACATTGGAACCACGAGAAGAGGGCTGGCCTGCTACCTGGAGCTCGCCTGCAGATAAGAAATGGGATCCCAACCTGCATCGCGGTGGTGGCAAAAGCCTCCGTAGCTGGCTTCCGTCCAGTTCTGCCAGTGTTGCCAGCAAGCAGTCCGCCAGTAGGACCGTGACTCAAAGCCAGCGCAAACAGAAAAGTCTTAAAAGTTGGCTCCCGGCTTCCAGCTCTGCCAAAAGCAGATCGCCAGCCATTGGGATAAATTTAAAAAGTTGGTTGCCGCAGTCAAGCTGCTCCACTTTGGCCAAAAGTTGCTTTCCTGCCACAAGAGAAGCATCACCTGCTCCGTCTCTTGCATTTTCGGATGATGCATCTTTGCACAAAGAAGATTTTTCCAATAAAAACAATGACTGCCACGACACTGACGCTGCCAAAGTTGCTTCCTCCTGGACCTGCCCTGAGTGTGGCTATTGCACAGAAAACCGGGTAGACTGGGTCAAACGCCGTCGGCAGCATATTGTTACTTGGCATCCTGACAAAAAGGATGACTGGAATCTCAGAAACAAGCCCTTATTAGTGCCGTGGACGCCCGATTGCATCTGGAAATGTCCGCTATGCAACATGGGCATGCCGCCCAACATCACTGATTGCGACACTTCCTATCGACTTCGAAAGGAACATGCTCAACAGCAACACCCAACTGCCAAGAGAAGCCGTTTTTTTCTTCCGACCCCCAACAATTCTGCCAAAGCTACGTTGGCCAAGATCAGTGCTGGCGTAGCCCAAAGGCTACTGGATTTGAAAGCAGGCAAGCAGGGTGACCATGATGTCATTTTCTTGAAGTTTCCTCCTTTCAAGGAAAAAGTCAAACGATTAACTGTGATCCATCCATTTTGCAAGAAGTGTTCCGCCAGAGCGGTGTCCATTGCGCAAATTGCCAAAATCCCATGCAACGTTAGCCGACGCGGCGGCCCCGGTCGGCAGCTGTTGATTCGCCGTGTTCGTGCTGCCGTGAATGACGTCACTTTACCTGATGCTTTGAGAAAAGACCTGCAACATACTTTGTCGTGGATCGACGCTCCGTCCGGTCCTGCAGTTGACCACCAAATTGATAAATTCCCTTGGCCTTTGCCTTCGCCAGCGTCGTTGTACATTTGCAAAGTTTGCCGACAAGTCAACATTCGGCGAGCTTCCATGACCAACACTAAATGTTGTGGCGAGCCTAAGCAAAGTCCGCGCCATGTGCAATTGCTGCGACAGCTGGACACAGCACATAAGACTGCCCGAGGACATCGACGTGACCAGATAGTGATTGCCCAGAACATCCTTTTGGGTAAAGCCAATGTTCCCACCAAACAGAATAATGCCTAATAATGACTGAATTTTTACTTTCTGATACCTTACGCATTGCCAGCCTCAATGTGAGGGCTTTGCCTCACAAATTGGGTGCAGTTTTGGAAACTGCTCATACTCACAATGTTCATATTTTGTGTTTGCAGAAACCCGTGTTTCCGTTGACAGTTTTGCTGGTATCCGCTATACTGCCAAAAAGGCAGGATGGGATACCTTTTTCGGAACTCAAATTTCTCATGATGCCACGCAGCCTTATGCTGGTACTGTGATTTTTAGCCGTTGGCCCACCGAACAAGTTCAGGTCCCTCAGGACCCACTTTTTCTCGGCAGACTCATGGCTGTTAAAATTCACAAGCCACGTGCCAGGCCTGTTCTCCTGCTAAACTGTTACCTCCCTGCCTCTAATGCTGCCAAAGCTGCGGACACTGCTGCCGCTGCATTTGAGTGGGCTGCATCCATTGGTGAACAGTGGGGCATGATTGGCGATTTCAATTTGACCAAGGAACATTGGCCTATGGGAGCAGCTCTGGCCACTGGGCTCTTGTTCGATATGGATGATGTAGCGGGGCCCCATGCTTTGCAAGGTACCCATCGAAACCATGCCGGTGAACTCACTGGCCGTGTCATTGATTTCATGCTTGCGACCAACGAGTTTTTTCCTGTTTCTCGTGTTCAACATCAAAGTATGGCTGACCATGATTTGATTTTATACGACTTTCCTTGGAAAGACGATGTCACTCAATTTTCCTGGCCTGCCCGTCCAAGCCTCCGCCTTGAAAAGGTCAGTTCTGAGCAGTGGGCTAATGTGTGGAATGCATTCAGCTCAACGTTTGACACTGCTCTCGAAGCTAGAGACTCAGATGCTGCATGGCAAGCACTGAGCTCCGCAGCCGAAACTGCTTTGGGGGGAACCCCCGAGGCACCTAATGCCAGACATAACCAACTTTTGCCTACTGTTAAAAAAGTGATAACTTCCACCAAGGCGCCAAATTTGCAATCGCTTCTGGAGCGACAACTTCGGCGCTTGGCGCGGAAGGCCCAGCAGAGCCTGCTCCAGCCAAACGATGTGAAACTCAAAAGAAACTTTTTCTTTTTCATTGATTTTCTAAGTGACCAAGTTCCGCTTTTAACGCAGTGCCAGTGGAATTCCGAAGCCACTGTGCGGTTTCTTTTCGACCTGGCTGACCAAGAGGCCAAAGCGGCCGCGCGTCAGCGCATCCACGACTGGAAAGACCAAATCAGTGACGATGTGCCACGCCTTGCTAGGTGGATTAAAGCCCGCTCCGAACTGGATGACAGTGGGAGTTGGTGTTCTGACAGTCCACACCCTCAACTTCAAGCGGAAAAGTGTGCCAGGTCTTGGTTTAATTTGTGGAATCCGGAGACTTTGCCTGTGGATCAAGCGCTTGATCAATTCTTGGAATTTACTCCTGCTTGCCCGAATCCCTGGCCTTTGCCGTCTCTTCAGGGACACCAACTGCAACATTTGTGCCATCAAGCCATCAAAAAGGCCCCGGGGCTAGATTGCTGGCTTGCTAAGTCATGGGACTGTTTGCCACTTGATTTTTTCGATAAACTCGCCAATCTTTGGAACTCGTGCCTTCAAGGTGCCACTCTTCCACAACAATGGAAGCATGTCCGCATCGCTCTCATTCCTAAAAATGATGGTGGCATGCGCCCTTTGGCTATAGCTGTCATGGCTTGGAGACTTGGCATGGCAGCTGTCATGCGGGAACTTAGACAATGGACTCTTTCCTGGCTCTCTCCAGAACTTTGTGGGGGTGTAGCAGAGAAAAGTATCCATGATGTTCATGCTCATCTGTTCAGCGATTTGCAAACGTGCCGTGGCAGGGCTGCACACTTCGCAGGATGTAAAGCTGATGTGAGAAAATGTTTTGACTCCGTACAAGTTAGTACTGCCATTCGCATTTGGAAACACTTGGGGGCTCCACCTGGTGTCCTCTCCGTCCTTAATGATTTTTATCAAAATCAGTCTCGTTGGTTTTCCATCCGAAATTGTGTTGCTCCAACTCCTGTCACAGCTCGCAGAAGTGTTTTGCAAGGCTGTCCTGCAAGCCCCGCATTGCTTAATGGACTCATGACAGTTTGGGTCAATGCCATAAAAGTGCGAGTCCCTACAGTTCGACTTGCAGTTTATTTAGATGATAGAACAATTTGGGCAACCGATCGCATGGCTGCTGCAAACGTGCATGAAGCCATGTTGTGTGCCGAGAGTCTTGACGAAGCGCTAGGCTTTGCGCTCCACCCAGACAAGCTTGAAAGTTTTGCCCTGAAAGCCGAGGACCGCCAATATCTTAATGATCGTGCCCTCACAGTTGGGCCTGCCAAAGTTTCATTCAAACTTCTAGGAATTCAATATTTCTTTGGTTCTCATTTCAGATGCCACAAAGATCACAAGTTGCATAAGACCCTCGTTTCCAGGTGCAGAAAGATCCGTATGGTCACACGCAACTTGAACATGCGTCGCCAGCTTGTCCACATTCTTGTTGTGGCCATGCTCAGGTGGATGGGTCCTTGGCAAAGATTTCACAAAGGTACGCTTAAGGGTTGGGCCAGGGCCATCGAAACTGCCATTTGGGGGTATAGCACACCTCCTGGTCGCTCCGGTTATTTGTTCTGGACCGCCATCGCTGGACTTCGCTGTCATCTTGAATGTGCTCTCTCCACTGAAGCCATCATGTATGAATGGAGACGCCAGGTGAATCTTTTTCTTGGAAAATGTACAGTGACGCGCGCCTCGCCGCGAGCGATTGACACTTTCAATTTACTCAATTGGAAAAAATTGCAGAATGATGTTTGGCAAACTCCTTTTGGCCAAATTCGTGTTGGTTGGATTTCAGACTCTGATTTGGCCAAGCTTGTGCGACTTTCCTGGACCAGAGTCCTCTTCCAGTCTGACACTAAAACACAGGAACACTTGCCAGACCACCTCAATCCATACTTTGGTTTTCATAATGCTATGATCAAAGAATGTGGTGAGCGATATAAAATGACTGTTCTCATGGCCGCCGCCTCTGATGGACGCATTTTGGAAAGAATGGGTGCGCCTGAAGTGTGCGCTTGTGGCATCAATTCTCCCGACCGCGAGCATCTCACCTTTCACTGCAATGCTGATACCGCTGAGAAGCCTGTACTTAAGACTCACAATGAAACTCGGCTGTTGCAGCCGTTAGTTCCTTTGCCAAACACTCCAATCATTTCCGCATTAACTGCTAATGTTGAGTTGGTTCAGTGCTTACGACAGTTGTACGCTGTCGACCATTCTCCTGTCGTCTTGGCCTTGGATGGCAGCTGTTTGGTCAACCCTGGCAATGATTTATACCAATGGGCATCCTGGGGGATTGTCACCTCCACGAAGCTTTCATTCAACGGACTTTTGACTGGCTGTGTTCACACCCCGGCTGCTGCCGAGCGTGAAGCTCTGGTGC